GTCCTGCTGGAAGGACTACGAGATGTCTCAAAAACGCAGTCAGGTCAGCGCTTCATCACTTCCATCAGTACGCTGTTTGAGTACTGGTCTTGGTCGATTTTCACGCCTGCACCGAAGAAACCACGAGCGGCTTACCCTTGCCAGTGATTTCCTCGGTAGACATCATTTTACTATTCTGATAGCAACCATTTTGTGAGATATTACACGCTAGGCGTTTCTTTCCAGAACGCGAACGTTTTGGTTGTTGAGGATTAGCTCTATCTCGAAAATTCCTTGATCAGAGGAAACGACGAAGGGTTGCGTGTCACCACTTTCGACTTTCTGCATTTTTGGCCCGGCAGTATCTGTTGAGATCGGAATTGAAGCGAAATTTTCGCATACGATAGTAACGGCAATGGAGCTCCTGTATGACATTCTTCTATCGCGATAACTCCTGTAAGCCGTGCCCATTGACTTCCTTTTGATGGGTCACCCAGAATCTCGACCGATTGACGGACCATTTCAATAGTCCTATCACTTCAGAAACATTCTTCCTTTCAACCTTTCCTGGTTTGTCTCTTACTCAGCCTTTTGTAGTGTTTTGAGCACCTAGGTGGTGCCCATGTAGAGGATGAGGTAACACATTATAACACCCCTTTGCAGCCTCAGACCAGGTAGGCTTCCTGATTTCACTTTCAGAACGATGGTATGATGGTCCTCTGAAATGCTGATTCTGTGAAAGGAGCCTGTGGCCGAAGTAAGTGAAGCTCGTTTTGAAGTAATGCTGATGAAATTGTTATGCAGCACGTCGAGGTTGCAGCAATACTAAAGATAACCTCTCCGTGTTGCTCCTGGTGCTGTAAATGCGCGAAATTCGCCTTTGATGCTAGGGCGTACATATTCATAGCATGATCTAAAACAATGTTTGTAAGGTCTGTCTCAGCCTTTAAGTGCTCGGAAATCGGCTTGAGGGATGTCCGGAGCAGCGCTTTCCTTATATTCTGCATGAGAACTTGAAATTGGTTGACCTTAACCGCGACCAAGCAACACATTAGGAAATGCTGCGCCACGTCATCAGAAAAGCGGACCTCAATTCTAGGTGGAACAAACTCTGAGGGCTGAAAGGCGGAGGAGTCTGTTTTCCCTGACGGTTTGAATCTGCTTCAGATCACTTTTCACCATCGTATTGTTATTATCTCCTCATGCACCAGTATTAGATAAAAATAGATGACGTACATAGTTCTCTTTTGAGGTGGGAACTATGGTGCCCACGAACATTGGAGCATCAAACCGAAAAGAAAGTAAAGAGAAATATTGGGATGAACGCATAGATTTCCGTTGATAAGACTTACCATGCAGTTTTTACCAGTGAAGTCCAACTCATGACTAGTCAGCGTCCTCACTTTATTTTGGCAAATTGTGGTTGCATAAATCTGGCTCATAAGCTGCATAAATCCTACACAGTGCATCGAAGACGAAGCCTCATGCTTCTCCGAGTGGAAATCTTTTGATAGCATTAATTTTCTTTGCTTAGAAACCTTTCTGAACACAAGTTTCTGTGCACTTAGTTACGTCACTTCTGTTGTGTTAGAGTTTTCTATGCTCTCAATGTTGACCCATGGAGCTTTGAATGATTATGAGTTATTACATGTCATCAAATATCAGGTTCACTCTAACCTAGGCGAAAATCTTGAGTTGCCTTTCTTTATTTTATCCATATCTTGTCAAAGTCTTTTTCCTAAATGTCACCTTTTCTTCTTGTTTCGTTGGCCATCCCTTAGTTCACTATACTTACGAGAGATTAACTGTCAATGGACGACTAGTGGAGAGCTGCGGCACACACACGCCCTCGAGTAGTAAACATCACGTTGTTGGTCACGAATGCAGACTCAGAAATATTATGTTTTGCAAAACAACATTCCCCACTTGTCACTTCATGCTGACCACAATCGCTCTCGCTCGCCATTGCTCTCTCGACACAATCCTCAGCTATACGAAAACGTCGCCGTCAGGCTTGGAAATGCTGCACTCTCGCACGAAATCCACAGTGGCATTGTAGAAACTCTGAGATATTAGGATTTACTCCACTGAAACTGTCACGCGCTAGATTCACATTACCATCTGGTTTATTAAAGTACCATGTACAGAACGGGAAGGGAAAGGTTCTAAAGAGCATATTGCTGCTATGTAGGAAACGGTTGAGGGGATGTTGCTCTTTCGGTTTCTCCTCGGACTTGTAAACTATTCATCGTAACGAACTCGGCAGTATTACTGTGAACATGGAGAGCACTTTCAATCTCTTCTAGCACATGGTTAATGTAATAAAAATATTTTTGTGGAGCTAAAATATAAAACTGGCCGTGAATCTTCCTTAATTCCCCTTTGGGGCTCTACAGTTTGAGGCTGTTTTACGTATCAAACTGCAGCAACTCAGATCAGTTGGAATCCACGTGGAGAGAGTAATATGTTTCGCAGCAAGATATCCATCCGAAACTGGCATCCAAGATCACCAAGAAAGCCTCAAATGGATGACAACCAAAAATGACGCGCATTGGCTGACAAGGCTATCATCTCGTAATCCGGAACAACCGTACATGATTATCCAACAAGTGACGCTCAAATGTTGAAGCTAACTTAAAAACAAGTAAGCAATCGTGCAGCTTGCAAGGAAGCAATCATGCAGCTTGCAAAAGAACCACTTCCGGTGGCATCAGTTCCGTGATTAACAATTTTTCATGATCGCAAAGCCTCTGAGCATGCTCCAGTGCTTAAATCAGGTGGTTATTCAATCCCTCGCTTATGGTAGACAGCAATCGTTGCAAAATGAGAACATCCGGTTGTGGTGATATTGATATGCGATATTTTTCAAAGCTACCGAAACGAGGGACGACCCGGTGTGACTGGCATCGTGTGTGAGTGTACATATGAACGTATATATGCAGTAGTGCGCTACTGCACGAAATAATGTGTAGCGGACTTATTTAGAAAAAGTTTGCTTCATAGTTAGGAAGACGTTACGTATGCTCATTCCTACGAAAATGTAGGCTGATTAGCCCTTTTAGTTGGAAAGTTACCAACTATTTCAAGACCGCAGCATTTGCATACGTCAAACCAGTTTGCTTTTTAACAGAAAAGACAGGAAGGCAAATCAGTTGAAGGGAAGTGGACTTGTGTATCCTCAGTGTTTATGAAAAATGCTGTCAAAAGCAGCACTTCTCAAAACAGCAGCTTATGAATGGTACCTAGTTAGATTATTTCAACGCGCTTGTACCATGGTACCTTTCAAGAGTAAAGCACAATTGGATGGAAATTTCGAAAGGGGGTGGGGGAGGGAGGAATGAAGACTTTGGTAGGTGCGTTGGACCCGGCAAATGAATGCGTGGGTGAATCTAAAAGCCAGTTGCCATTGTGACCATTATTCAGTGCTTGTCGCCAGGTGTTCTTGCCTGAAGTCTAATCCCCATTGAAATGGTCTCAATAACAATAGATGGAGTAAGGTGTATGGTGCGATGGGGGTTTAAGGGGATCCTAAAAAACAGCATGTTTCCTATCAAGTTTCGCTATAACTAAAGGCTGGATGATAGACGTTTCAAAACGCGTGGGTTACAGAGGACCATGAAAAGGGGGATCGTCAAAACTCTTTTGTTCTCTGTATGATTCTAACATTATCGGCAGAAGAAACGGTGGTGAAGAACTATTGTAGCTTCTGCCGATAACTATAGAAACACAGGGGTAAAGAAATTTCATCAATACCGCTACTACTGCTTGAGCATACATAGTGCAGTCGGTTATGCCACCCAATTCACCGTGCCCTTTTTAATCACATCTTAGTCTCTCTTTATCCATTGCATACTATTCTTGGAAAGTCGCTATTTATGGTAATTGAACTTAGATAAACTTAATTAAATATAGATAAACTATCTTTAAGAGCAATAAAATTCTCATTTTGATTACTGAAATGATATTGAGAAGGGAATTTTTGGATGGAAATTTTGCCTAAAGCCTGAATACCACTACATTGCTGAATGTCGCTGCAAAGATTGTCACCACGCTCGACGAACTTTTTCTTCGCCCTTGAAGATGGGCATCGGGTATCGAAAGTTCTCGTCGTTCACGAGTCTTCAAATCTTCGTTTGATCACTCTCCCGAACACATTTTTTTCTCCCCAATGAGCTCTCCTCTAGCAATTATATGTGATGGCCAGGCTTATTAAAATACTCTCATTTGATACTTTCAATGCATCTAGTTGGCATACAGGAGCCACAAGACATCTGTATATAAAAATTTGACGTTTCGTGCCTTTTCAGAAATCAAACAATATCCTGGAGGTTGTCCCAAAGGAAATATGCTGCTATTGGCCAGTCAATATTATATAATACTATCACAGCCATGGCAATTTTAGTCCTCCTACCCCTCTCCCAACCCCAACACCCCNCCCCTCCCCCTTCAATCTATGAAGCCTCTCATTCTATAAAACTTTCCTTTCAAGAACTTTATGTTGTCTGTTGGCTATTGTTTCAATAAACAAAAGATTGAGTTGCAAACGTTCATATTCAGTCAATCAGTATGAGTACAATGGATAATGAAGGACAAAAAAAGTGGATAAAAAGCTCTATGGACACATGGTGGCGAATGAGGGTAAATGATATCCAAAATTTACACACAGTATGTAAATAATTCAAGTTCCAGCACGCATAGGAAAGAAGCCTAGTGATAAGAATATGCAAAACTGCTATGATATGGTATTGATTGGAGGTGGTATCGAATATCAACTAGGTGAAGACAACGGCATTGAAGCTTTCAAAAGAAGTCCATTCCAGCTCGACTGTCAATTTTCACCCAGAGGAAGAGGTAAGCAACGAAATTTATGGAAGAGGTAGCAATGAGGTTAATGGGGCATGGTAAGAATCACAGACAATTAGGTTTTGGGTCGTGTTCACAAGTGAGATGGACATTTGGTCCGAATGATTAGACAATGACGTAAACACGAGTGACCATAATCAACGGCTATCACCTACGGTATGTCCCGTGCTATGACGACAGTGCCTACAACGAGTGATGTCCAACAACAGTATATATTGCAAATGGTAGACTACGGTAGGAATTCAATTCGGCACATATTGAATGGTAGTGATTAGAGGTACATTATTCACAGGAAGTACTGAGACATGGAAAGAATCACTCAACAAAAATGGCGATCTGGGAAGGTAGCGGGGGTTCTGGCAGTCTGCCATCATCGTATTCAATGACAGGAGAAAACCAAAAGCAGTACACATGCATCATTTTTGTGAACATTAGAGGAAAGGGAGCGGCATAGAACCCTGTCCATTGGCTTGGAGCCAATATTACCGGTGTAGCGCTACCGAAACATGCTATACATATATAGAAATCACGACTTTAAACATTACAAACATCTATTATTGCATTATTTATCTGGGTGTCTACTGAATCGGAAGTGTCCATCAAGTAGTCAGAAGATTGTTCAAGGAGTTTGTAGTTGGCGAGTAAGCTCTGCAGCAAGGACTCGTTAGAGACTAGCGGGAAAGGGAATCCTGACGGAGTAACGGGATTGATTGGCACTGGAGCAGCGATCATCGACGCGGTGGCAGCGGCAAGCGTGGCCGATTCTGGAGACGAATTGGTGGTTGTTGTCGCAGGCGACTGTGATGGGAACAGCAACGGCGTCCGCAGTAGTTCTGGTGAGGATGCGAACGGGTTTAGAGTCGTAGGCGAGTATGATGAGCCGTCAGATGAAGTCGGCGAAGTCAGCAGTGATTGAGGAACTTGTTGTCTCAACTGGTTGTCTGAAAATATGAGCATGAACCGTGGACGTCGTAAATATAAACATCTTCACTATATCACTGAAGCCAATTTCAAGTTAAAGAACTTATTAAAAAATCAGGTAATACACAATCCCTCTCCTTTATGCACATGGCCTCCACAAATCGGCTAGGAACAATCGCAGTGTTTTCATTACATCAGCCACAGTCTTGTTATCCCTCGAAATCCGCCCTTTAAGAGCTCATAGCTGAACAAGCTACGATGCCGTTAAATAAACACATATGACTATTTTCAACTATTGTCGCCACTTCATGGAAAAGAAGCGGCGATAAACGATAAACTGATAAGTGGAGCCAGGATTAGATGAAAAGGCCATGCTCTTCGTTACATACGGAGCTGTCGCTCGGAATGCAGAGCTTACATTACTGTGCGCACCCCAGAGATTACTAAATCTGGCATTTGTGGTTGCCTCAGTACTTATAATGAAGATTGATCATTCAACTCATTAGAGATGATGTATGAAGACTATAGGCTGTATTGGAGACTCGCACGGTCGGAGCCGGGTTATAAAGCAGATCTGGGACCAAATGTGCCTCATACTTCGGTGCCGCGTTTGGAGGCTGACAATCAAAAGTACTTTCACTGAATGTGAGACAAATCAGGCTTGCAAGCTGACTGTCTCCAGCCTGCCTTCTAATCTGTTGGAAGTACATTCGAGCCTCCGAATATCCAGAATGTAAGTCGAGTGTAACTCTTTCGGATCGACCGCAGAAACCATTTGTTTCCTCAGCAGTTTGCCCAAAATAAAGGAAGGAGTCGGAGGCTTACTCATCTGTTCATATCAAATGCTATGATATCACGAATCGTATCAAAGATTGAAAAAATAGATAGTTCTAAACATGGACTTCTCTAAGGGTATCGCCTCAAATGGTACGAGCACAACAGTGAAATCCTCTCTGGGCGCGCTACAACAACTGCTATATCTGTCAATTAAGGCATTTTAATGAAATTTAATCCCGCTCGTTTAGTTGAAGGAACAGGCAGTAAGGTTAATTTTTATCCGCTCCCTCAGGTATTACACAGTATAGCAGAACTCAAAGGCCGTTTAGCTTGCTCGACTTTCATATTACAGGCGATCAGGTGCAATACATTGCTTGTGCCCACTGAGCCCTAATTCCTCTATTATCCTCTCAGCCATGTCAGTGGGAGATATCATCTTTTTCATAGAGTTGAAAGACATTTGCGTCAACGAACCATATCGTCATGCAAGAGGAAGTGTGTAACCATTTTACAGCTTATGCCAACTGCTGACTTGTTTGCTGAAGCTAGGCGTAGCACCACTCTGCTATGATTTGTTTTCAAAAAAGATTTATCTCAAAAGTTGTGCACGGTTAGAAGCTTAACCACATTTTTGAGCTGCTATATATCAGTAAGAAAGCCTGGAGATTTTCTCGCATATGCAGCTGCCTCTTTCAACAACTCACAGTTCTACTGTGGAAAACCTAGCTTCTATTTTTTTGTTTTTCTTCCCTTCTGGAAATGAACAAGTCAGTTGAAACGACGACTCCCAAGTACCTATAGTGTTCTCGGTGGCCGTTTTGCAAGACGATGACATACCGGAAGATTGGAAAAGGACTTGAACAGCAAAACGCAGCAGCAATTCGAGTCATCAATAACCAGGCCCAACTGTCCGCTCGAGGACTACGGATTGTTTTCATTGAAGCAGAGATTTTTTCTCTTTTTTGCAGTAGGCTTCTCTCTCCCGGTAACTCCCAACATGTTATTAATCCCTGTTCTGGAGAGGAAAGAAGGTAAAGGTCCCTCGGATTTTAATGTGAAGAAGTCGACGGAGGAGGCAATAATTCTAATCAACGAGCCCCTTAAGGGTATATGGTCATCAGCGATCTCGAAGCAACGTGGCTCAACGGTTAAGAAAATTCACAAGACTGGCTGCATGTAGCTGCTCAACGTTGATGGTTTCCATCCAGCCAGAACTAGTTGATTTCATGGATTTGTGAAAAAAAAGTGCGAAAAGGAATAAAAGCCTGGATTGGTCATCACTTGAAGGGATTTGCATTCATCTGGAAAGCTTCTCGATACATGGATAACAGAAGAAAGTATACAAATTAGGTGGAACTGACGCGAAACTATGTAGGTTCAGGGGCTTTTGATAATGTGGGGAGATTACAATCGCATCGAAAAGCTCAAAAGTTTGCCTGAGAGCCCTGAATGCTATTGCCTGGGTTTGAGNAAAAGGAATAAAAGCCTGGATTGGTCATCACTTGAAGGGATTTGCATTCATCTGGAAAGCTTCTCGATACATGGATAACGGAAGAAAGTATACAAATTAGGTGGAAATGACGCGAAACTATGTAGGTTCAGGGGCTTTTGGTAATGTGGGGAGATTACAATCGCATCGAAAAGCTCAAAAGTTTGCCTGAGAGCCCTGAATGCTATTGCCTGGGTTTGAGAGCTGTGAATTTCCGGTATAGAAAGTTTCCGAAGAATCCTTTGCCAGAACTGCGCTCGTAAGAAGCCTTCTCAAAGTTCGAGAGCCACGATTGTTGATGGTAAATAATGTTCACAATTAATTGTTCTGTGAAAGCAAAATTTGCAGCATTTCTGTCAATAACATGAGACCTTTCAGAGAAGTTTTCTAGGAAAGTACTTCTCTGAGGAGTAAAAAATGGCTCTATTGGGCTTTCTTTCACACCACCAGTCATGGCAGCACCCTGAGCTCTAGAGTGTCCTCCGTGTTCTGAGGGAATGTTTCATTGAGGCGGTCTATCCTTGAGACGAGGCTAATTTTGAAAAGGAAGTCATTGTACTCCAACTCACATAGTAAACTAAGTCCGCTAAGTCCGAAGTTCATCTGGCCTATTTGAGCGGCGGCAGCATTTATAGTCGAAGCGAGGTGGTCGCGTTGGAGATTGATGATGCTGTCCTTCCGTTGACGACGTCGTATCTTGATCTGATCTGCCATCAGCTTTTGCCGCTCACTGACCACTTGGCACTGAAATGAAAGAAGATTAATTTGGTGAGGAATACGCAGTCGCATCTGTGTATCCTGAGGAATTACTTGAAGATCAAGGAAAATAAGCACAAATGGTATCGTTCTATGCAGAAAACTGTGATAGCCTACTAAAGCTCACAGCGAGTTGGGCTCACGCTCGCGCAGCATACACAGTGATGCTTGGAGTTTGTTCCTGAATGTCATACTCATTCGCACGACTGTAGTTCGAGAGCCCAACGAAAACCCTCCTTGGAATCGGTTCCAATTGAAACATTGGAAGACCTATATGAAGCAGACTTCCCGAGAAACACTCAAAAGATTCCCTAAATGTTTTGCTGTTGCGCGAACGAGCTTCAACGCCTTTCACTCATGCTATAAACAAAAAGTTTACATGCACCGAAAGGCTTGGGCCAAGAATAAGTTTCCAACGTTGCCTTTGCTCTTAATTTTCATCACTTCCTCTAATCTCACCCTCCCCGCATCTCTTTCGCAACCAGCATTTTGGAAGATGTCACATCTAAACACATCTAAATGTTCAGCGTGCTAAACGTAACTAAGGCGCAAAGAGATATCGAAATTTTTTTCCTCCCACTTTTTGGTATCTCCCACCTCCAACAATGCTGACCACCGAGAAGCGTCACTCATTGGACCACCATTGACTATCTCAGTGGCATTTAGTTAGTGATAGAAGTATAAATTCCGCGGTTCAACCTTTACGCCGAAGCTACCTTATAACTTTCTACGCGCGGATACATAAATTTTTCAAGTTAACTATATCATTAAGTACTGAGAAGGTGCTCTCACAAGCAATGGTAAACAAGGGCTTCCGCGATGAAGGAGTAACCGCTGCCTGCACCAGAAGTTCTGCCTTAATATTCATAAAGAACGGCAAACAATCAGATTGTGAAGTGCTTGGTGTTATTAGCACCAATATGCACTGAATAAGCATCAGGGTATTATACCATTACATTAGAAATCAAATTAGGACCAATATAGCTCTAATGATAATGTAATAGGCAGCTGTAATATTCGATACCGTTCGGCCTGAAGTGATCAGCCCGGAGCGGCAAGGCAGAGCAGCAAATGAATGCCCCATATGGCTCATGGTTCCTATGAAACACCAACTCAGAGCTCTTTTTTAAAGTGAGCGATGCCGTGCCCAAACTACCGAACGTACCCACGGTAAGCTGCTGCCCAAGCCACACATACTTGCCAACATACACTTGAGTTCTTCCTGTTTACTGCTCAATGTCAAAACTTTTCAAACAAGTCTAATTGCGTTTCAGATCGGGTGGAGGGGTGGTGTGGTAGCGTGTTTATTCCTGCTTGCCTTCCATCTTCGTGCAGAATTTTTAAAGTAATTTCCCAGAGTGATAATAAAAGCAATCATTTCTGTGGAATTCAGCTGGCTCTGGCCTTCATTGTGCTAAGACATCGCTTTATTGGCTTGAAAATAACTCTGTCTAGGTGAAAGCTTGTTAGAAAAAGAGATCGTTCGCGACAGAATCTCGGGTTACACTCATATGTACTGACTTGTACACAGAATCGTAAATGTGCTTGAATGGGATGCAATGTTGTCCAGAGTTACTTGCATATTTGCTTTTATCACATTAATCTTCTGCCAAGCTATTCAACGAGCCTCGAGCGATTAAATAGCATCGGAGCTTGGACCATGTTTTGCTGTTACAACATGTTTGTGTAGTTCCATGAGAGGCGATTAATTGCAAAATGCGTGTGAGCGTGGGGAGGATGAGGAGGGGGTGGGGAGATTGGGCTAAGGATGCGTGCCAAGTTATCTATGGGCGACAAAGTGCGAAATCGAAGAAAAGCTTACGTGTATAATATTCGGGGGACTCGAACGAGTAATCCCCAAATACTGTTGCAGATGACATGGGATGCTTGTAAGGTGCAATGGGGTAATATATAATAGAACAAGATTTGAATGCGTACGGTACTTCACTCTCAACCCCCCCCCCCCCCCCCCTGCCTAACACTTTGGAAAGTGGGAATTTCAATTGGAGTTTGATCGTGATAACTCTAGAAATTCCAGTCAAACGATCAGAACTATGCTTCAGATTATTAACCTCTTCATTCATCTGAGCGGTACGATAGTTGTACCTGAGAGCGATAACATTACTATCTCACAACTCTGAATTTTATGTTCTACATACCACTGTAATACTCAGTCCAGGGGGAGTCTTAAGACCACTGTCCAACCACGCTGAAACCGATATCGTTCAAAATGCCACTCGTACCTCAGCGAGTAACGGGCACGTTCTAAAGACTCCAGGACATCTATCCCAGTGCAGAGACGTTCCTTCGGTAACCTTTCAGCTGGACACCGCAACCCTATGCTAGACGTCTATGAGCATGGAGCGTATCCTTGCCCTATGTTTCTCTCCTAAGTCAGTCATTTTGAGCCCGAATCAGAATTCCAGTACTAGTTCAGGTACACCTCAACGCCGGAGCGCATTTGATGTCAACTCTAGCATTTTCGAGACGACCGGGACGTATCCCAAGTAATTCAACAGCGACTATGGCAAACCTGCTGCCAGCCTTCACTCTAATATATTCTTACTATGTAGCATATGATGCAAAGATGGCAGTGAGTAGCAGAATCTGCTCTCAAAGTTTCACCACTCAATCGTACCATCCGATATAGCATATTCCAATGCTCACATTAGTACTTGGCTCAGTATCCTGTCGAAACTTTTGAGAATTAGTCAGGCTTCAGCTCCGCGAACGGAAGGGGAAAACGTTTCGTTAAACGGTAACAGCGCCAAACAACAAGAGACTTTCAGTGTTCCAAATATTCCTTCAAAACGGCCATTGTTCAACAGCATGCTCGACGACACGTAAACATGGCACTGGAGGTAACAAGCCGAAAAATAGCGTCGTATTTTCCACTCAGCTTATTTGGCCGCAAGAAAGGCTTTGAATTCTTAGTCCAAACGCTGCAGAACGACTCTGGTTCGCTCGACACTTTCTGTTGCTGTGAATCGTTCTGAGCACGGAGTCAGGATTGCTAAGTGGCTCCGGATTTGGCGTTTCTCGCGGAATCTCGAATCTCGTTTCGAAGGCGCCTGTACATCTCTGGTTCCATTCAAAGACACAGCAACTTCTGAACACTCTCTTGGTCTTTACAATGACTCGCCCCACCGTTACATAGAGCATTGCTCTGCCCCTAGAAAGATTGGGAAAAATTGAATGACTCCAAATCTCAAATGGTTGTTGAATGTTATGAACTTAACCATTCTTCAATGTTCATGTCATTAGCTTCGTCCAGGTGAAAATTTTTAAAACATATCAGCAACACGTACTTTATATTCATCATTCAAACATCATCACATGGGGACAACAATCAACCACCGTAGATGAAAATTGTGAGAGAGAGTGGACAAGGTTAACCCTTCTGTACTCACGGCCAGGCTCTTCCAATTTTTGCGGTGATTCTTAAGCCTGCCTAACCCACATTCATTTTCCCAGTTCTGAAGTAACCCTAAAGGTTTCCTTCTGGTTAAACAGTCTGAAAGCTTTTATGACGAGGGAGTGGCCGCGTCATATAAAGTCGCCCCTCCGAAGAACGAGGCTGGTATGTCATACATTCAGCAAAACTTCCGCAGCTTCGTCAGAAAGAGGTAGAGCAGTCATAACAGCATTTAAAGAATTGAGGTTCTAGAATTTGGAGTGTTTTTGTGGATAAATCCGATTGTTTTCTCGGCTCGTCTCACCTTAATACAGTATCGAGTTCTGCCTCTGTTGCCTTTCAAAGTCATGGACCCCACTGTTCAAAATCACGGTCAATCTGGAGGAAGTTAGGGAAACGAAAGGTCCGGAACAGAGTCTACCTTCATATTCTAGCTAGAGGGAATTTGCTCGGTCTCACCCCCTACAGAAAACAATTTCAATAAGTACGAACAGATATGAAAAATGTTTTTTCACAGCTGAACTCGTTCAAATAATCACACACCATAAAGGAAAACCAACTGGGTTCAGTTCATCCTGTGAAAAGCGTGATTTTGCTAATTTCTGTCCAGGTGAAAATTCCAAATTGTACCAGCAAAATGTACTAAACAGCCTCGAACATCATTACATGGGAAACACAATCACACACCGCAATCAAAAGCTGTTATGAAGAGCAGGATGTTGATATCCTTTCTACGAGGATCCTGGGTTTTGAAGCAGAACCCGTCTCTTCTGTAGCTATCTGGGGTTTTTATAAAGGGACGAGAATAAGTGCTTGAGTGATCACAGTGGCCCAGAACGGCTTTGAGAAGACATCGTTTCTTATAAAATCACCTTGGGACATCGAGAGTCAATCCCAATCACCTACGAAAAAGCGGTGAAAGTTTGCCGTGGAAGTTTGCCACAAACCAAACGGAGACCATCAGCCTCTAGAGTAAGCGATCCTGTGGTTCCCAAAAGCGACATGATTTCCTGACCAACCAGCATTTACAAAAGCCATCGCTGCTTCCCATGTTTTAAACTCACGATACAAGTGGTGTTGACAAAAGTGGGATAACAAAGGTGTGCTTCTCAGCGTTAGATATGCTGCACAAAATCGAAACATTTCTCACGTTCCGATCACCCAAATGAAGGATGGCTGTCCATTCCTGAGCAGTCACCCAAAAGCAACGTGTTTATCTGGGCGCTACCCGTGGTTGGTCATGAGGCTGCTGCAGCGGCAGCATCGTTTATTAGCCTACCACGCGAACTTCAGGCAGTTTAGTGGAATGTTGAACGAGTACCGTAAGCTCTACGAATACACGTGGGAATCTCTTAGAACCAATATTTGAACAAAGACGAGTGAGTCCTGAGACAAAGCCTAAAACAAAGCTCAAATGGCTAAAAATAGCAAATTGTATTGAGATGCCATGCCATTAGAAAGTGAGAGTCAGAAATCGACAATCAAGCTCTTCGAGTACACCGAATCCAAAATTAGAAAATAAAAAATGCTGTAATAACAATGAACCTCGGATAGTTCTTCCTTGGAGGGGAGGGGGAGGGACAGTTACGAGCACTAGCTGCTAAAAAGAAATTCCGGAAAGACATTCATTTCCACACAGGGAGAGATTCCTTAGTCTCTCCGTGTTCCGTGCAGTGCTAGAAGACCGTCCTCCTTTTCATTAAAAAAGTCCACAATCCACACGTCCATACGTTTTCCCACTAAAAACTCCCTCTCGATTAGGATAGGGCGAGCAAACCAGGGTTTTCTGAGACGTTGCGTCTTTAGTCGCTGTGGGATGCAACAATGATCCACACTTTGAGTCCTACAGACTCTGAACTGATTCCCCTCTGTTCATTCCGCGAACAACTCACATAGTAGGGCGAATCGGAATCAAACTTTTGTTGATTCCCGAAGTTTACAGAATATTGTAGTTCTCTACATCCAACAACAGACTTACAGAAATGACACAAACCCTTTAAAAAGGAACACGGCTTTCGAAGGCACAATGAATTAAGCGATTCTCAGCAAATAATGAAATATTGAGACTCTCCTAATCCTATGAACATCAATGATGGCAGAAGAGATGTAGCAAAAATGGAAAAGATGAGTAGAGTAAACATAAACCCTACAGCACTTTTATTTAAAAAAAAGGGAACAAACCTTAGCACATGGGCAGTCCTTGAACGGGCATAATCGCTTGTGCCCCTTCAGACGAGATTTTTGACCGTGTTGACCACATTTCTGGCAATTCGGCACACGCTCTGGATAATTGAATTTTTAGGTGTCAATTGTAGATTCACATGTTTAGAGCGTGTGCTCCAACCTTTGATTTCTAATTAGTATTTAGTGTACACATATCTATCAACAACCAGTAATTACTAATTGTTTTCAGTCAGTGACCATTCTGCATCCTGCGGTCACCCCGTTAGTTATTCAGTAACAAATAAACCGTCCACGAAGCTGTCCTCAACCTGATATGAGTGTCACAGCTATGCGGCTACGAGATGGTCGTCGGGCATGGCTACCCGGCCGCGGTGGTCGCGCTGCGACGGAACATTGTCGACAACAAGTGTTGTTTACGGATTTCAGTTATGTTTATTGCGCGATTCCCCCTCACTCACTCTATGCGGCCAGTAGAAAAGCTGTAGTAGGCAATCTTTAGCTGACAATTTGAACGCACATTGATGAGCCGCCGGAAATATGACAATACCCCTTTGAGAGAAGGGCCCAACAATACTGTGACGCGTAGACAAACACCCATACAAACATTCCACGCCCCATACATACTTTCTCCAATGAAACCCCCAAAAAATACATTTTTTTCGTGCTATCTATAGGAAACCCATTTGCATGCTAGGGATTCCTCACGGGACTTTTTCGTTTTGAATATGCGCCTAAAATAAGAGTTTGAGTTGCGTGAAAGCTCTGAACTTTGTGAATAAATGCTAGAAAATAGAAAAAGCCATGTAGTACCGAAAGTGCCCTTTTCTCATGTTATGTGTGAAACCNGTTACATAAAGCGTTGCTTTGCCCCTAGAAAGATTAGGAAAAATTGAATGACTCCAAATCTCAAACGGTTGTTGAATTTTATGGACTTAACAATTCTTCAATGTTCATGTCATTAGCTTCGTCCAGGTGAAAGTTTTTAAACATATCAGCAACACGTACTTTATATTCATCATTCANCAAATCGAAACGATGTTGAAGAAAAATGCAAGAGCTCGAAGAGCTTCAACTCTCACGCAATTCTCGTAACCTGCCAAGATGAATTTTTGAAAGGTTGTGAAGTTTGGCAAAGTAGAATACTGCATAAAGTTTGCGAGTGGGTAAGCATGGAAACGTTTTCTTCGGCACAACGAGACCAAAGCTTTATAATCATAGTAACAAATTATGAAAAATATGTGAATACAGTATGACTTTCGTCACAGATATGGCCAATTACACCAATCACAGCATCCAGAGTAGAAAAGCTCCTTTCACGATCAGAACCCGACTTCTGGCGGCTCGGATATCTAATCATTCGAATACTACTGTGGTGCCCAAAACTGCATCATCCTTATATTTGATCGAAACTTATGTAAAATGAGATAATTTTCAGAAAGTACATTTTCAGCACCAGCAAAGTTGCAACCAATTTTTGTGCGCAAGTGGTCTAATCTATGTACCAAGCGAAAGCTAGGCATTATATAGGTGCATTTAAAAATATCGGGGAACCGCGGAACTCAAAACTTCGGGTTTCATTGAAGAATTTATGTATTAGGTAGTGGACTGGGAACCCGACTCGCAAAAAAGTGAGTGCTAGAGCTAACGTAGCAAAAATGCTGATTGCAGACTGCTTGATCGTTTCATCACCTTTACAAACATTCATACAGTTTCTGAAACCCTAAATTCGTGGCAACACACCGTACCGCGGCGTTGGAGAATTACAGCAGAGCAGCTCAATTCGAAGTTAATGTCTAACGCCCACTAAAGAATCATTGGATCTCAAGCAATTATGTCTACAAACTGTCAAAATGCAACTGAAACTATTACCATGAGCGATTATTATTAATGACAGTTATTTGAGTTGGATGATATCCCAAAATGTTCCAGAACCCATCCAGTACTGTATGTACCTTCTACGGCACTTCAGCACAACCTTCAGTATTTATATGATACTTCAAATAACTTTCAGGTCACGATAAAACCACTTCATTACCTCCCTCCCGAAAGAGTCTATAGGTAATTCCTACCATGACACCCCAAAACTTTTTGGGGACCAAAAGAAGGCGTTCAACAAAAATTGCTCAAACTATTAGTTTTGAGAAAGGTTGGTGTTGAATTCGAAAAACACACAGAATTAATTTGAATAGATCCTGCTAGTTCCTATGCCGATTTCGTTTTTAATAAAATGAAAATCTAAGAACGATCGCAGGAGACGTACTCGAATAACTGGGATTGTCTGATTCAAAGACACTTTTCAGCGCCGACAGTGACAGTTCGAACGGTTTCGGATAGAAGCCGTGCTGGGTCATCGGCGGATGTGGCAGGATTCGAGAATGGTCAGTGCCTCCTTCACATTGTGTTTCCCTAGCCTCGACCCCTCCCTCCAACCGCTTGCCACGCCCAACTTGACGAACACCTCCGTTCTCATGGCGGTCTCTCGCCGTATCCCGCCTCAGGGCTTCTGCGATCGTCGCGTTCTATGGGACGGCCGAACGTCGAACGGCTGTGAATTTTGTGTGCTCTCTAAGTACTACATAATAACAGCGCCACCGATGTTTTGCAACATCCTAAAAACGATGTTGTTTTGCTTATGAATTGATCTTTCCTCTAACCTGAACCGCTACATAAACCGGCCATGATCAGGAATCATCAAGGACTTCCGAAATTTCATGTCAAAATGAAGCTCTGGATGTCAATTCATAACACCTCGTATGTTAGGAGGATAAATCACAGAAAGGTGGTTGCGAGGGGCAATCCCTGGAGTAACTGCAGGTCCCTGTTGAGCTTTCTGTTGAACGTTCGATGGAAACTTGGGTAAGATCACAACACGCTCAGAAAGAGCAGCATCGAAACCTGATAGGTAAGGTAACCATCAAATAAACCGAAAGTTCTGAGCGCTTCTACCGTAACAACGTACACTATTCATCATTCTTAGATCACCACTTGTTTATGTTTTCCTTTTTGAAGATCCGGCCTAATCGCCTTTACAACTCATGGATGTATGGAGGGATTCTTCCGAAGAGTTTCATCGCCTTCGTCAAAATCCTTTCAAAACAAATTAAAATTATTTCTGGGAGCTTCTTAAGCTCTCATGCAGATTATTTGCAATGAAGATTGCTGCAGGATTTCAATATTAGAGACTCAGATGGGAAACGTTCAGTAGCTTACATCATATTACACTTCGACGTTTAGTAATGGTCGAAACAAAATGAAATACAATGGCCGACCTAAAGAGAGAAGCATGATCAAATCCCCTTGACACTTGACGCAGAAATGGAGAAGTGATCCATTTACTATTCATTCGGCTTCACTGCTACAGAATTTTGTTTGTTTTTCGTTTTTCTTGAATCTGTTTTGAGTAAATCCAGCGGTGATCCATGACTCCATGGATTACTCAAGAGAGGCACAGAGGGGCAGTGATAGGCTTACTGCCTAGCAGCTCTCCGGATTGTTAGCCCTCGAAAACGGTTCAATGCTGGGGTAGCAAAATTACAATTGCTACTGTAACACTTGCGAATTATACTGGGATTCTGATCTAGCTGTTGATTTTATCGTTTGCAGTCTTGGCTTCTTCCACTACTCTCTTAGAAGTTTAGGTCCAGAGGTGTATGAAGCGAAATTTCGGGCTCGAATTAAGCCAAAGAAGACTTTTGAAAATTTTAGAAGTCAGGACTAAGTGTAAGAGTGCAATAATGTATAATATGCTTTTGAAATGCTGAAAAGCTTCGGAGAAAATAATATGATTCACCGGTTTCATAGACTGATTCCGTACACCCTCCTCCTTCAGTGAGAATGGATTGTAACATTTTGTGATAGACGTCAACCACAGGGAAGAGATTAGGCGGATATGATTCTTAACGGATATGGTAAAGAAATTGGAATGTGTTTCTCGCTGATTGAAATTTCCTACTAATTCCGAAAGCCATATGGTTCATGAAGTTGTACAGTCTGCAACAAAACAACACGTCCTATTTGGAAGGGTCTATTACCTCAAAAATTATGTGTACTTCAGAGAAAGCAAGCTATTCAACAGCTTATAAGTCCAGTGACTCAACAGATTAGCCTGTTCTGATACAGACAGTGTTTGTAGGGTTGTTTAAGCAATACAAGCGAAAGCCACTACGTATTCCTACATAAAATTAGTTACGGCATTCTGCCAAGCAGCGCCGATAATGGCAAAAACATTTCTTAGCAACCAGCTCAGGATCAGCTCATCGGATCAAATCCGAGGCCATGTGAAGATTTTCCAAAGCGAAGATTTCGTGCAGAGTATCTAAGGTTTAGGGGCGAGGTCTCCGGCTGAAGATTCAACGCGCAGAAGTAAATAAGGGTTCAGAGGTCGTAATCTAACAGTTGAACTCGCCGTGCAGAATATCTAAGGGTTTAGGGACAGGAATTTTTGGCATATTCATTTGTTTTTTGCGGCCCTTCCAACATGGACGTCTTGATTAAAGCAGTTTAGGTATCGAAAAGAATCCTTTTGAGAGTAGTACCTCAGACGAGGAGCATAGCAGCAACTTTTCAGTTCTGAACTGGGGAATCTTCGTCTGCTCATGACCAGGTAGAATGTGGAGACAAGTGGAGCCATTACGACGTCTCCATCCACCCATTAGGCAGGACAAGAGTCGAGCTAATTATCGGCAAGTTTCTGGTGACAATATCTCATTTCCTTTCTTTATAAGGCTCAACGCTGAAATTGACAAGTTTTGCGCTGACCCCACGTTGAAGAGTGTTCATATTATACTATCCGAGCTTCTATTTTTAGGGCTACAATCGAAGGTGAGGAGTGAATCAGTATGGAAGGCTGGCCAAGAGGAGGCATGTATGGTAGAAGGCTCAATGCACAGTTGAGTCATCTAGCAATCCAGTGGTTCCACAGCAGTAGACTAGTGCAGGATGGGAGCAGTGGACAGTCAAAACTTGAGACTCCTCTGAACACCTTGACAATTACCCTGAGTTTTATGGATTCACCAGTATGTGAACAAAGAGTAGACATTTCTGGTTTATTTCCTTCTTTGCCAATAGAGATCTCTATTATTGGAACTGGCTGAAGCCTCCACCATCACTCTGCAACGTCGACTGCCGTTGCTGAAGTGACAGATGACGTGTTGTTTGTTTACCAGCCAAGTTTCTCGTGCTTACATCTCCACACCGATGTGTTGTGATGTCCACTCGGGCGCACATTGCCGTAGCCATCGAAGTCGTCACTGGGTGCCTCTGTTCTCACCGTCAACAGCGATGTCTCATCATCCTCTACGTTACTCCGCTTTGCGATCTCTCGAACGCTGTTTTGGCTGAATTCTCAAGTAATCTGATAACATGAAGAGAGCGTTTCGTGGTGTTTTGCGACCGCCTCCGGCTACTACTGCTGTACGAAACACTCCTCTCACAAATCCACTCATACGCTCTAAAGCAGCACCTTGAAGGGAATCAGTGCAATGGAGGTATGGATAGAGAAATGAAACCAAGGATGATCAAGTCCGTTGCAGATGCACTCCTAATTCAATTTCCCTTCATAATCGAACCACAAATTGAATGCACGGAAGACCTCTACAGTGACTCAGCCTCGAACATAGTAATGTAAGGCTCGGCTAGGAAGAGATACGGTCTATCCCTTGGTGCAAATGTGGAGCAGGCCCTATTCCATAACCCGTCCATTTTCAACAAGGAGACAGCTGCATCGAGTGAACCCCATAAGCCTGTTCGTCAGCCTTATGAGTTGAGAGTTGAACTGGCCTTTTTTGGACTAACGCGAAAAGATCGAATTTGGAAACAAGAGACGAGATCGAGAATTTTGCTCTACACGAGAGCTGTGGTCTTTGCGATGTCATAAGTAGCTGTAGATTTCGGAACCTCCCTCGGAGTGCTCCTCCGAAGCAGCTCTCTCAGTACAAAATTACTAGAATTGTTGCCGCGCCACTGGGATACAGGATGAAAATATAATTTTGAGAAGCCCGGTTGGCAGTGGAGACTCGCTAAGGTTCGTTTCCGCTGTCGAGAAGAGATACGAAAAAAATCATTTTATTCGGTTGATATACCATAAGAGCGTGGTATTTAAGCTTTTTCCGAAAATTGCGGATGCCAGCACTTTCCTACTGAAAGGATCATGGCGTAAAATCTAGTCTTTTCCATTTCAAAACTGGTTTACCGTGAATGAAAGTCTTGTTTAAATTGCGGGGAGCAGCGCCACTTCAGCGCTTCTTCAGCTATTTTCTCTCCAAACTTTGATGTCAACAGATAAACATTTCAAAGAGAAGTTTGCAGGAATGGAAATAACCTTAGAAGGCCTGATCCCATGATTCCGCTGCCCATTCCCATCAGTGATCCGCTACTGGGTTTATGCAAAAGCTTCGAGAACTCAGACGGTGTTTAAATCGCACCCAGGTAGTTGTGCTCGTATTCTAGGGAGTGAAGGTGACTTGTTAGGCTTACATGACCAACGGCACAGCATCACCATCCACGAGAAAGCACAACACTACACATCGGGAAGCACTTATGGCAAGTAATGGTTCAATGCCAACATTTCTTCAAATTTGGCGTGGTTCGCATCAGAGCTACATGTAGATCTACCTATATTACTCGCATTATATTTGCATTAACATAGCAAATAGATTCTCAATATTTGCTTGAAAAAGGGACGTTTCTAATCAGAGAAGGGGAAGTGAGGGAACATTCTAGAAGAACATTCTACGGATTTTTTAAACTATAATCAGCTCAAGTTTTGTTTTATGATAAACTTAATGAGCGACCCTACAGCTCACGTCACCCCTTGCTGAGCTACCTTCACAAGCAGATCGTGGCTTACCAACGTTCTGTGATTCCAAGTATTTGCCAAAAACTCGCTTTGTTATCATATACAAGTGATTATAATTGAGCACAACATATAACGCTCTCTCTATTTTTTAATTTTGTACTGGAATTGATTTGCACTAGACTTTGAACTCACGCGGCCAGAGGTAATTTATCAATGACCCTGTCTAAAGGAAGAACAACAGCTGGATTTGAAACTCGTTTCAGATTCTGGATTATATTTGGATCATTGAATCCTGTGGGGCTCTCCAAAGTTGCTAGAGCTGGACTATATTTCAATGGTGAAAAGATTTGTGGATGTGCTGCGGCCGCAACAAGCGTTTGGATGTACAGTCACTCGATCAAATCGTGCACATCGCTTTAGTACCTTCTGTCTTGGTGAGACTAGCCTGCTTGCTTCAGTTATGTCAAAAGAGTTGAAAGACTTCAGAGCGATATGTGACGCGTGGCGCATGCTTGAGAACTTCTCAGAGTCAAGCAAACTACCTCTGGCATGACCTCTTCATGGATTGCTTNTAGATTTTGTAAATTACGGAACGGATCTCTATTAAACCAACAATCTCATATTTCCTAGGACATTCCTTGATTCTCTATTCTTGTTTTCCTCTTTCGAGCAAGCAGTGATGCCTGCAGTATTTATAGGAGTTGTTGCTCGGGGCTGTCCAGCTTCTCATGAACTCCGCACAACACTCTCGACGCTCCTCGCACTGCCGGCTTTCTCGCAGGCGTCTGACCAGCTACTATTGAGATGGCTAGGGGCAACGGGTGCGTTTTGCCGCCGCAAGTTGTATAGTGGACATGAGCTAGCAAAACAATTAAATTGTTCAGAATATTTACTGGCTACACGGAATTTTTCAATTTGTTTTCGCTTCATGTTTACCACATTGGAAAACCATCAAGCAAGTCCGTTATTAGTCGACACAGCTCTGCGGCCGCTGCAGTGGATATACACGACAAAAGCATCCAGCCGACACGAAGATGGGGGACAAAAATATGATTTCGATCGCCAAGTTTCTCCTCCACGGCAGGTCTAGGTCTTCCATGGCATGAACACGGGGGAAGTGCAACTGCGTTCAGGGAACCCCAGTAAGGCTCTTTAGTTGCAAAAGCGAGGAAGCTAAAAGTCAAGTTTTCGATAGATTCAGTGATGATGTATCTTATTGAAGGTCTCCAACTGACTCTCAGACATTAAACGCGCTCTAATCTTCTTCCACAAGATAGCCTTGCTCCCCTGGTGGTCGCAGGAATCGTGGGGTGGTAGCAAAAAGTCTTTCTATCTTCTTTCTAAATTTGGGTCTACTAAGCCAAGTCTACTTTGAGGAACAACTCATAAATTATTACCAACAGTTGCTGACATTTGCAGCTTTCCTGCAGAGCCACTTACACTTTTCAAATTGGCACAGACACTAATTGAGTTCATTACTTTGTTATTTTATCATTATTATTTTTTGTTATATTATATGATTATTATTTGGTTTACAAAATGTCATTAAGTTGCACAAGGAAAAACATTCAGGCCATGTGGTCACTAGAACTTTCAAGGTAGCCACTTGAAGTTTTTTCGGTGAAGAGCGAGCGGTTGACCTGGACCTGTTTTCAACTACACATTGCAAGGCTGGGAGGGTGTGTCGAGAGGAAATTTTTTGTATGTGGAACGCTTTTTCAAGAGATACATATCGTTGTAGCTTATTTTGAGAAGCAAATTAACTCCAGGCGTTGCACAAATTCGATATTGGAAACTTAATAACCAGGGTCTAACTACATGAATCGGTCTATGTACCCCAGGTTTCGTTGTCATATCTTCCACGCAATTTTTCCTCGCTGCTGTGCAAAAAAATTTGGCGACGTAGGACCTACGTAGCTCTTCCTTAGGTTTGAAAGGTGACACTCACCGCCCTTGACTCTGACCATGCGGTCGACATCGCTGTTAGACGGCGGCTGCTGATCGTCATCCTCCGACCGCTTCATCGTTTCCAATTCAATGACTTCAAGATCGTGTAGTTGAGAATTCAGCTGCCGGCGTTTTTCCACAAGGAAACACAACTTGCACTTACAGTCAGCATAAGGGCATTCACACTGAAAAGCAATATCGTTTTGCTATCAAACTGTGTTCTTTCTCTACTTTCTTTCTGATTACTAAAGTCATTCATGAATTGTATTCCAAGAAAAAATGAATTTTCCATAGCTAAGAAAAATTTCATTATTCTCAAGAAACTTGATATGCAGGTGCAAAATTTCTGTGAACAAAAGAGCATGCTCTGAAATTCGGACAAACCTCCCTCCATTGATGATCAAAGCCCCACCACTAGCAAAATTATAAAGTAGAGTAAAAAAGGGTCATCCTTGGTTTTTCAATTCTAACCATTTTATTGTTACTCTAATATTTTCAGCAGTTTACTATTTTTACTAATATATTTTTCTAGTTTATTATTTTTACTAACAACTTTCCCTTAATATACGTACATATCCTGCTTTATATAATTCGCTAAGTGTGTCTGTTGGTGTGTCGGTGTGTGTGTGTGTGTGTGTGTGTCGGTGTGTGTGTTTGACCGGAAATTCATAACTCCTGTTCCCGTG